ATGTGTGAATATATTCCCTCACGACAGCTCTGGATGTCTCTTCCAGCCCTGCATAATGATCTCTTCATCTGCCGCAATCAGTAGAGGAGAGACAGGTGATGCCTCTGGCCCATCAGGGTTGAGCAGGACGGGTGAGTGACACACGCCAGATGCTGCACCCTGAGCTGGGCAGCAACTCCCCTGTAAATACATCATGGAGTAAAAATCACCACGTACATTCCAGCTGCTGCAGAGCATGTCACTGGAGTAGACGTGTAGTCACATGTACAAATGCACACCAAATAGTATCCGTACGTGTGATTAATTAGCAGCTAACAGTGAATTCTTTGAGCCACAGGGGGGGAAAAAGGAAAAGAGAAAAAGAAATCACGCCCTTAAAAGAAAGATTAAGACTAACTCTACAAAGTCTCTGAGGCTGAAAAACTGTGTTCTTCAGGACAGTGAAGGAGACAATGAAGTTAGTGATATGTGTCCCCCAAATTTTACTTTATTTTTTACTATATTTGTAATACTGGGTTTTATCATTAATGTCAGTTAATTCAGTGCCCATGGAAACTACCAAGCCAGCAGCTCTTGAGCCTAAAGTCTTCTGTATCAATACAGACCCAGAGGTGTACCTCCAAAACATCCCTGAGAACACCATGGTAACAGTTGCCAAGCCCCCCAAGAAACAAAAAGCTTTTAGGGATATGGAGCACAAAGACTGACAAAATGAGAAAGAGGAACAACATTATCTCTTAATTCATTTCAGCCAAATTTGACCCATGTAAACCCATAAGTAGTGCATTCGACTGAAAGTTAACTATGTGTTGAATCCTACAGGCAGTTTGAAACATTGGAGAGTAAAGTAGAGAGCAGGAATAGGCAAACTATTAAAACTAATTTTATCATCTCATAGAGGAGGTACTGCACAATACAAGTGATGCACACAGGAAATGGAAAAAAATTGCAAGAAATGAGTCAACAAAAAAATCTTTAGTATTTAGGAATATGAATACTACCCATATGAGCATAGTATGAGAACACGGTATAGGAACAGTCATATTAGTTAGTTTGTGAACTAATTAATGCAAGATGTTCATCAGTAATTTGAAAGTTGATATAATATCACACTAGTAAATTTAGCAGGTAGCAGAGTAGCATGAAGACTGGTGAGTAAAGTGGGAAATGGGACATTCAGAAATACCTGAGCCCATTGCTAGCTCTCTTGGCATTCTCAAGAAGAAACAGTACAAAAATGGAGCTGTTTGAAGAGTTGCACTTCTAGGACCAAGAAAGTCAGGTGATGAAAACTGTTCTGTAAAGTATGACTCTACGAGGTGTCATGAGCAGATGCCATAGGCTTACATGAGACCACCACAGCTTTCAGCCTAGTTACTTGCAATCTCAGTCAGCTATGTAAGAACTAGAAGAAATGCCAGAAACTTTCCAGTACCATCAGTTCCATATCACCAAGTAGTCCATGTTTTTTGCATACTTTTAGAAGGAAAACTGAAAATATTCTGGTGATCACAGTGGGAAAGCACATCAGCATGACAGATCTTTAAAACTGTGTTGTGGTAAAAAAACCCACAACAGCTATATGCATCAGCTGCTAAGAAGGTATTTTACTTTGTGTGTGCCTTCAGCAAGAGAAATGTTAGATAATATCAAGTTCTTGTGTCAATATTTTTAAAACAATGTTGAAAAATTACACAGGTTGCAAACATATAAACTATGTGAAGAATTGCTGTAGAAAGTTAAGGAACTTCATCTATTTTGGCAGGGAAAAAATTATATTATTATATGGAATAAAATAAGTTTCATAACAGAAAATATTACACATGAAAATACTGTTTAGATAAGTGAAGTAAGGCATTATTTGAACCAGCAGCTTGAAGTTGAAGCCAGCCCAACTCAAGCTAGAAGTGAGAAACACTGAAGGCTGCTAAGCAGACTGGTAAATGGCTGCAACAAGGAAGTGGGATCATCCATCCATCTCATGATATCTTCTAATTGAGAAAGCATGCCTTTCTAGAAGCAGTAAAAGTCTCCCTGAGCTTCTAAAATAGCATGTTATGAACAGCAAGAATTATATATGTAGTAAGACTGAAAAAACAGAAAGGTCCATTCTGGATGTTGATGTTAAATACTTAATCTTTTCATTGAATGCGATGTTTGATGCTTGAATGTTTGCACACTGGGGGCTGGCAGACTAGCACTGTATGTAGGATTTCCAGGGAAGGTGAACAACAAATGTGGTCAGTGCTATCACGTTTCCATGACTTTTTTGTTCTAGTCTTTCTGAATGTTGATGTTTTGTTTGATGTTCTGTTTGCTTGTCAGGTGAGCCATTCACAGTAATACACAATTCTTCTTTTATGAAAAGTTCCAGATTAGTTAGATGATAACACTGACTTGCTTTATAGAAATGTTTTCTGAGGCAAGTTGTAATTTTCTACATCTTGCTGTTTATCAGAACCCATCATTCTGTATTCCTAAAAACAAGATTTTCTTTTCATTTTATGGCTGTGAAATATTTACCAGTGTATGGCCATAGGAGTAGGCCCATGACAGTGTTTTAATGGTACACAGCCAATTCTCAAACCATGTCCTTCCCAAAGCTGTGCTTTCTTTTATTGCTGTCATAATTTTCTCTCTGAGGTAACTCAGTTGTTTCTTTCCAGGCTTTGTAGTTCTTTATGTCACTCAATCCACCTAAAATTCTGTAGTTAGGACCAAGGAAAACTATTTTTATATAATTGCAAATATGCAGTGAGATCATTAGTGAATGCAGTTTCTGACCCTTGGTTTCCAGGATAATTTCCTATACCAGGACTGATTTCACAGAGTGCACAGAGGAGGCAAAACAACGTCAGCAGTTTCGCATGAATGTCTGTATTGCTCTGCATTAAGACACTAAAGTTTACTCGTGTCTTACACTGGACAGTTTTACTGTCAAATAACTGTCTATAAAAGAAGTAGAATTCACACCAAGCCACATTAGCCCCGATTCCTCTAACACATACTTGAATGTGAGGTAAAATCCCTAAATTCAGCCCTCAATGAGAAATTCTCCAGGGAGCACAAGCTAGACCATCTGCCTCAATGCAGCACTCGATCTCACATGTTGCTGTTACTTTCTGGGTTTTTCTACACAAGAAGTAAATGTTCAGCCTTGGCAACTGTCAGGACCTACCTTTGCTATTACATAGAGTTGTTGGTGAAGGGCTTGTACAAGGCGTACTCTGTCTTTGGAGTACGTGTCCATTGGACTCAGTCTCTGAGAAATGGGCTGGTTTTGGTACCTCGCCCAGCATACTGCTACCTTTAAAATAGGCACAGATCTGTGTGGGCTGGGAAAGCTCCCTGCCTCTCACAAGCAGGGACACAGAGGAGAAGTGAGATCTCATTGTCCCAGGTAAGATGTGTTAGTCTCTCACTGTGAGGAGCAGAGGGGTGTTCTTTAGCTGACTGCCTTAATTTGGACACCAGCCACAGAGTGAGTCCTTCCCTGTGTTGTGACTATTTGCTTACTACTCAAGAGAAATAAAATTATAGAGTATAAGATACATTTCTTATTTTAAGGCCTGATACCTACAGGTCTTCAACTCGTTTTCTTCTTCTTGGTCACCAACAAAAAATTTGCTGATGGGGGAAAGAGTGGTGCTGAGGCAGAACCCTCAGCCACGGCATTCCAGGCTGCATTGCAATATGAAAAATGAATTTACCAAACTAAAATAGGGATAAAAAAGTTTGTTTAAATATGAGTTTTAAATCTTGCACATGATGCAGAAAATATTGAAACATGCTCATTGGGCACTGAAACATCATTTTGGTGAAGGGCACGCATTTAGAACAGTTTCTAGCACTTACAATATAAAAAATACATGTTGGGGAAAACAAAATAGAGTCAATACTTAGTTTTAATTCTGAGGATTTTCTGCTAAAATTAGTTCAAATATTTCCAGGTCTTCAAAATTCAAAGTGTTCATTCTTTTCAGATTTCCCCCCATACTTTTGTAAGCAATCAGCATTTGAAAACCAAGTAATATTCTTTCTATCATGTGTTCTGTATTTTTTCTGCTTTATTACAGATTCTTAAAAAAAAAAAGAAACAAACTCGGGTTTCTTTTCACTGTAGTTGTGACCCTTACCACGATGAGAACTTAGATCTCTGTTAGAAAGTGATCTAGTTCCTATACAACTCCGTCAAAATGAGCAGTGAGGATACATTCACCTATTTACAACTTTGCATATCACACTCGGCAGAAAGCCGAGGAGGAAATCAAGTTTACCTTCACGATAATTTGTTCTTTTGACGTGACTTTGCCATCGGCGTTGTTTAAATTTCTATTAATGCAAAAGCATCGCCGTTCCCAGGATTTGAAATGATTCAAAAGTTTCTGGGGAGATTCCTCCACTGGAGCAACTGGATTTTCCTCCTCGGATTCATCAGACCTCTCAACTCCTGTGACTTTGGCGGTGGCATTTTCCGGCGGACGCCGGACTTGGTGGGATTTGGAGGGTGTTATCTCGATCCCTGCCTTCCCCGGAGCTCCACTTCTCCCCGGCCAGGAGCGGGGCCCGACGAGGCAGGAGGAACGACGGGGGCATCCTCCTCGGGAGGCGCGGGGCAGCACCTGGCACAGGAGGCACGTGAAAAGAAATTAAATAAATTAAATTAAATGAAACGCAGCGGGAGATGGATTGACTCTCTGTGTGAGCCCCCATCTCCCGCCGCCCCACATCTCCCCCGCACCCCGCAGCCGTCGCTCCGTCCCTGCGTGGCCGGGGAGGGCATCGCGTGCCGGAGTTCTCCCCGCACCTCCCGCCCCGCAGCTCCCGGGCAGTCCCGGCTGCGGGGGGGATCTCCCTGGCTTCCCCCGCCTTTGCCACCCGCCAGGCATGGGACTGAAATTCCCCCGGCGGCCGCGGAGCCCCTGCGGCCCCAGCGTATTTGCGGGAGGGAGCCACGCTGTAGAAAGGGCGGGAGGCAGGGAAAGAGGGTAGGGAGGGGGTGTCAGCTCAGCCCACTGCGGCCTCATCCCCCCTCACTCCTCCCACCAGTGCGTGGTGCCTCTTAACCCCCGGGAACCTCCCTCCCGCGAAGCATTGTCCACTTTGCAGAACACGAGTTGATGACGAAAAAAATACTTCTCGGCCGCGGCCAGCCATGAGCTGTTTGGATGTTATGTACCAAGTCTACGGTCCTCCCCAGCCCTACTTCGCAGCAGCCTACAGCCCCTATCACCAGGTAAGTGTGGGGGGCAGCGGTGAAGAGGCAGATGGTAGGAGGGGTGTCATCTGGAGGATGGCCGTCTGGGGCCCCACCAAAAGGAAAAAGGGAAAAGGAGAAGGGGAGGGGAAAGGGGGGCGGGGGGGGGGGGGGGGGGGAGATCGGGGAGCCTGAGATGGTGATCGGAGCAGAACCGCATCCCACCTTGGAGCAGGGCTCCGCAGGGTACGTATACCGGCGGCAACCGACGGACTACGGGATGCCTTGGGAGCTTGGGTGCGATTTAACCCTCAGAGGGATTTTTAGGGGGTTGGTTTGTTCGTTTTCCAATATTTGTTTGTCTGTTTCCTTTGCCGGGACCGGCTCCATCCGAGCGCGGCGGCTCGGGGCAGCGATGTCCGAGGTGTGTGTAGCCCGTCGGTAGCTGCGAGGCCGGGCTACCCGGGGTATTGCTCACCCCTGCGCGCCGGCATCCCGGCCGCCGCCGCGGGAGCCACTTCGTGCAGAGATTTTATAGCAGCCTCGGAGGGGTGCTCCGGAGTTACGCTCTGGAAGTGGAGGAGGCGACAGTGCCGGGCGGCTGCAGGGTCTCCCCGGTTTGTCGACGACGGGAAAAGCCCCGGCAGCGAAAGGGGCCAGGGGTTGAGGGATGCTCCCCGCTCCTGGGACGCGCTCGGTGGCAGGACCCTGACCCGGCCCCCAGCCCCACCGGGCTCCCGGCGGCGCCGTCCCCTGCGAGACCTGTGGGTGCTCCGTGGGCTGGAGCCACGTCTCGCCGCCGCGCTGCGTGCGGCTCCGCCCGCGCGGGCGGGGGTATCAACTCATCCCCGGTTTTCAGTAGCAGGATCCCGCCGGCCGCGGGAATGTTTCCGGCAGGCACAGCCCGTCGTGCGCGGGGATTTGCTCGCTTCAGGACCCGCACCGTCCCGCGTGGGTCAGGGCTCGTTTCCCCGGGCTGCACCTGTTGCACACCTCTTTCCTTTTACCCCTCTGCGTTTCCAGCTTTTCCCTCGCCCTTACTCCTTCCAGAAATTAATTCCTTTGTCCACCAGTGTAACGAAAAAGGGGCTGGATAGAGGAAGTAGCGCCCCAGGCTCGAGGCGGGTGAGAGCCCCCGCCGTGCAGAGTCGGGCCGGGGTCAGCGGCCCCGCTCCCTGCAGCCCCCGGCGTGGCGGACCCTGTGCCGCCTCCATCGCTCGGCAGCGGGACCCAATTCCCGTTACAAATAGCAGATGATGTCTTCCCCCACCTTGCCTTCCTTCCAATCACCCTCTCACCCTCCCGGCACACGGCTTATGACATTATTAAGGGGGATGATCATTACCTCAGTGGCCGAACCGGGAGCCAAGTGGAAATGCGGTCGTCGCGAAGGAGTGACATTACGATATATATCGCACGTATTGGCCCAAGGCTCTGCCCCATCCCCTCGGTGCTTCCCTCGCCGGCCGCTCCAAGGCTCTGCCCGTATAATCCAAGCCCGGGCTCCACGTCCCAGCGCTTATTGCTAAGAAACTCCCAGCACCTGCAGGCATGCTAACGCGGATAAAGATGGGAAACATCCACCAAACTTTTCAACGCCCACCGTTTTCCCACTCATCGAAATCCAGTAAAAACAGAATAATTTTGTAGGAAATACCTAGAGCTTCCTGCTGGCCAGGAAAATGATGTGCTTTGCCCTGAAATGTGTTTGAGTCTTTTTTTTTTCTCTTTCCTTCTCCTCGCCGCTGTGAGTTACGGGGCACTCTTCACAGCAGATTTTGCGAGCCGGGGACCGAGCGGCTCTCGCCTTCTCCCCGCTGCCGTCGCTGGTCCGTGTGTGCCTGGCCGCCGTCCGACCGTGCCCGGCGCCTTTCCCCCCGCATTGCAGCCCCTTGGCGGCCGCTATCCGCTCCAGAGCCATCTGCAAAGCACCTTCTTATACCGGGCTTGGTGCGGGGGACCAGGGCGTGTGATCCCCGTCTGGCCGCGCCTGCCCCGCCCGGCGGTTCTTCATCCCGGCCGGCGACTCTGGGTTTCGGACCACCTGCCCTGTTTGCAGCCTCTTCACTGTCTCCCAGGGGCGGGGCAGAATTGCAGTTACGGAGGGCGATGTGGGGGTGTGTGGGGTTGCGGTGTGTGCTGGGGAACAGCGGACGGCCGAGGATTAGACTTTTGCATCCTCTCGGAAAGATCGCGGGAGAGGGCTCAGCGCTGCATGCCGGAGGAGGGGGGAGCAGCGCACCTTGATGCGCTGCGTGACCGGCTCTATTTTCTTTCCTTCCCCATAGAAACTCGCCTTTTACTCCAAAATGCAAGAAGCCCCGGAGAGCGGCAGCAGCGCCAGCGCCAGCAGCTCCTTCTCCAGCCACCCTGCGGCCAGCATCAAGGAGGAGGACTGTAGCCCCGAGAAGGAGCGACCCCCCGAGGCCGAGTACATCAGCTCCCGCTGTGTCCTCTTCACCTACTTCCAGGGGGACATCAGCGCCGTGGTGGACGAGCACTTCAGCCGGGCGCTCAGCCAGCCCAGCAGCTTCTCCCTCGGCAGCTCGAAGGCGACGCGGAACGCCGGCTCCTGGCGGGGTGAGCACCCAGCGAGGCGCGGGGAGCGCGGGGGGCGGCTGGGTTCCCCTCCGGGCAGGCACCTCGGACCTCGACATCCCGTCTCCCTCCTTCCTCCCCTCGGCGGCTGGTGCTCGGCGGGCAGCCCCTGGGAGCCAATGTCCCGGGCCGAGAGCTGTCAGCTGCTTGGCCCTTTTAAGGGAAAAAAAAAGAATAAAGCCCTTCAGTTCATGCTGGACCACAGTGGGCCGGGGGAAGCAGCTTGGGAGGTGGAATGGGGAAATGAACTTTCTTTACACTGCAGGTGCTTTACCTGGAAGGGGCTACAGCCAAAAGAGTTATGAAGTGACCCCTGCACTGTGACTGTGCAGGGAATGCCCTGTTGACGCTAGCTTTCAGTTTAGTGTGGTCATAATGATGGGAACAAAGCAAAAAGCAAATGTGGGAACCATCTCATCAGCTTCCCACCTCTGAAAAACTGATTGTGTTTGTCCCCATATTTTGCCCTGCATGTATCACCACCCTGATTGCTGCTGGAGGAAGGTCCCTAAATTTCTGAAAATGAAGGCTTCTAAACCTGCCTATGGCTGTGGCCATATGCCATTAAGGTTAAGGCCAGGGCTTATGCACAGCTAATTCACTCTGGACAGGCCTAGAGGTACCCAGGGCAGAAGGGAATAACCTTCCCCATCCTCTCTCCACCAGAGAGTCAGGGCTGGCACTTCTTTGTGGGCAGTTTTGGGAACTCTCCCTCACAGGGCCACCTGCTCAGCCAAGGCTGGTTTCCCAGCCTCTGTATGAATTGCTGTCAGTAATGTCGAAGAATGAAATAGTTTAAATAATTCCCGTGTGAAAGATATTCAACTGACGGCAGGAAAGGAGTGTTTTGCTCATCATGAATCTCTTCCCCTTCTACTGAGTAATACCAGGGCTCAGAACTGACATACTTCTTGGCAAACATGTATCAGGAGCATGGTTTTGTTTATTTCTTTTAGGAACCGTGTGCATTCTCAATTAATCACGTATAACATCTACCTGTACTATTAATAATCACCAGTCCATCTTGCGTGTTGCTTACTGGGCTAAGTAAATGTAGGGTCCTTGTCCTTTGCCCTGCCTCCCAAATATCTCCAAAGGTCTACAGAGTGCTTCCCAAACGTGTTGACTGTATACCTAAGAAACAGGCATAAGTCTGGTATAATAGGTGGACAATTGCCCCCAGAAAATTAAGGAAATTCAAGCTGGTCTTTAGTCAACTCTCACTGTTCCTGACCACTTTGAAAACGCACTGAGGCAGCAGCTGCTTTCCTGGAGGTGTTGGACATAAATGTTTATACAAGGAGATTATTACAAAAACAAACAAGAAAAGTCCAACCCTGAAAATTTCAGTGGCGTATAATAGCTCTCACTCAGTTTCCACTATGGAAGAAATGTTTCCCTCACCTTAGATAACAGCCTTTTGCCCACCTACATACTAAGAGAAACCTGGAACAAATAGTTGCAGCTTCAGGGATAAGCCATAGTCTAGTTGTGTTGGATGTTTAGCTGGAGAGGAATCTGTATTTGTTTGCAGCAAGTTCTTGTGTTTGGTAGCTTTTCAGGGAATAAAGGGAATGCAAGGTTTGGTTTAGTTGGATCAGGGAGGGACAGAGGCCTAGGGAAAGGTGATCAAGGCTTGCTGGGTGTGCTCACTGCTGACTTTCTCTTCCACTTCCTTCACCCAGATGGCTCCTTCCCAATGAGCCAGCGCATCTTCCCGCCGTCCTTCTGGAACAGCACGTACCAGCCCTCCTCAGTCCCAGCCAGCCTGAGCAGCCCCCTGGCAGCTGCTGCCCACAGTGAGCTGCCCTTCGCCACCACCACCGACCCCTACGCACCCGCCTCCCTGCACGGCCACCTGCACCAGGGTGGCCCTGAGCCCTGGCACCATGCCCACCACCACCACCACCACCACCACCCCTACATTGGGACACAGAGTACTGCCTACCCTCGACCCGCCACCATGCACGAAGTCTACGGGCCCCACTTTGACCCCCGCTATGGCTCCCTTCTGGTGCCCACTGCCTCCGTCCGCCCCCACCGCCTCACCCCCGCCTCCGTGTCCACTCCAGTCAGTCCCCCCTGTGAACTGGGCAAGAGCGAAGCGGGCGCTGCTGCAGCCTGGACGACACCGGGCCCTTTCCCCAGTGCAGCAGGAGACATGGCACAAAGCATCAGCCTCAATGTTGACACAGGTAACAAACTGCCCTTGGCCCCTACAAGTTCCCTGAGTCAGCTGCACCCCTGCTCCCTGACTCCACACCACCCATAGTAGTAGGGAAGGACCACCCTTGGGGGTGGCTGGGATGCTGCTGTGGGAGAATAAATTGGGGGTGGAGGCCCCATATGCAACACCTGAGCTCTGTCCTGACTGCTCTTCTTGGGGTTCTCAGGCCAGACAAGAGAGGATGGGGAGAGGGAGGATGGGACAGGCCAACACATCACATCCCCAAAATGTCATTTGAATTTCTGATGCCTGCAAACATGCCCTGAGGGTACATGCTGCTTTGAGGTACTCTTGTCTGGGCCCTGATCCTGCTTCTGCGTTTAGCAGCAAGAGCTGGGAGCAGGACGAAGCAGCCCTAAAGGTCACTGCTTGGCCCCCTCCACATGCTGCACTGAGGGCAGTGGTGTGGGCAGCCACAGCAAAGCAGGTCATTTTTAGACCCCATGCAGGTTCATGAACTATCTCCTCTCCTTATTTGCTTTTTCCTTCACATGTTTGAAATGAAAGCCCAATTGCATTTGCTGAGCAAAAAGGGCAATGGCATTCCCCCGGTAGTGCCTGGTGGGATGTCTGGAACCAAGGCTGTGTGACTGTAGCAGTGATAAAATCAGGGACACAGGCAATTAGCAGTGGCAGATCCTGAATCAGTGGTTGTGAAGGCAAGGAAAGCTTGCTCCATGCTGGTTTTGTTATCACAGCCCCTAATGGATCCTTTCGGCTTCCTCATTTACAGCAGGAGGGATGTGTGCCAGGCTCCAGTCTGGCTTGGGCTCTTCTCCTTGCTTCATAGCCTTCTGGGGCTCTAGACACCCCATGCTTTAGACTGATTTCAGCTGGCAGAAATGCATTTTGTTTTCCTTTGTCCTTAAACGCCTGTACCTATTTTTCTTCTTCCCTTTTTTTTTCTTCTCTCCGTTCTCAGGTTTGCAGACTCAGGATAAAAGCAAGGATCTGTACTGGTTTTAGAGCTGTCCTTCACTCTTCTTCCCCTGGCTATCCCCTGTAGCTCTCTGCCTGTTAGGCATGGTGGCATTCAGAGCTGAAAGCGGGTCAGTTTGTAACAGCTTCTGATCTTGGTTTGCAGCTCGCCGTTACTCCTTCTGTGGTGGATCCCTTCTGAGCTGATGTGCTGACTCAAAGACTCTCAGATTCCCCCCTGCCCTTTTCCAAGCCCACCGGGGCCCCGCAGTTCTGGTAAAGACAACGGGATTTAAAAGGACCTGGCATTGCAAGGGTGATACTTTAGATTTGTTTCAGAAAGGAAAATCCTTCTGATGCAAGAGGAGAGCCAAAGACATTGAACTTCCATTTAAGCAGACCCCACACTGAGACCTGAATTCAGACTACTCTAAAAGAGTCAAATGACATCATGGATGGTGATGCAAAATGACTGGCCTTCATACAAGGAGCAGAGAAAATTGTGGGGGTTCTTTTTTAGTGGTGTGAATATTTTTTTATGGCAGTGAAAGTTATTTCTTGAATGCAAACATGGGAAAGCTACTTAGCAGCTTGGAACTGGATTTTTACTTTATAGAAAAGTAAAAGGAGAAGAAACTGGAATTCACAAACATTTTCAGACTGTCAAGGAACTGGTCAGATTTTTCAGCTTTGTGATTGTGAGTGGCAAGTGTCTGGCTGGGGCCACCTGCCCTGGGCTTATAGATATGCAGCTGTTCTGCTCACAACTGCTCAAATCCCAGAAAGATGAAAACCAAGGTGGCACTTCTTAGAGTTTGGCACAACATTTGCATTGGATGTATAACAGTTGTTTGGCTGGGGGAACGGGGTGGTGTTTGGTTTTTTTGTTGTTGTTGTTGGGGTTTTTTTTGTGTTCTGTTTTTGGTTTGTTTTTTTTTTACAATAAACATTTTCTGGTGAAAGTAAAACCCCCTTAAAGCAGGGGGAGAATGGAGTCTGGAGAAGAATGGCTCATCTTCAATCCAACAACCTTTAAAGGGAATACCAGAATGAAAAGCATGTGATGGACAATAGGTCCAAGTTGCTTCTAACACTTCTCTTTGTCCACTTGTTGCTGTCATTTTGTCACTTTAGTAGCTGTTTTGGTTTTTTTAAAAGAGGGAATAAGATAGCTATTTAACAGTAGGAAAGCTATATTAAAGGTATCTCCTTCTTTCACCATGTGTACTTTTATGCAGAATTAAGCTAAATAAGAGAAATGAGGCAAACTGGAAACTTCAGGATGAAAAAGAAAAAGGATTTCTCACATGGATGAAGAGAGTTATTTTATTATTTTGTGTTAAAGATAAATAGAAATCCTAACAGTCGAAAATATTTTCTTAGTGAGTAAAATATACATCGATAAATACAAAAGACAAAAAATGAGAGACTATTGCAGTGCTACATTTTAGTGTGTGGTGTATCTGTAGGATCTGTAAGGGGCTTTCCATAGTAGCAGATATTTTTCCATGAAGCTGCTAGAAGAGGGGACTATAGCATTTAGCGTTGCTATTGCACTGGTAAATTAAAATGTTATTATCGAGTGATGAATAATTAATGAAACAGGGCAGAAATAGAGATTACCCTATACTTAAAAGCTGACTTTTTTACAGGCAAAACATTTGATTTGAACACTACTGTGTTGTGGTTTTTTCTGGTTTTTTTTCTCAATGTAATGTCTTCGAAGGCTGACAAAGTTCAAAGTATATAAGAGGAGAGTCCTAACACTACCCCTCTGACACTAGGAAAAGCAGTAAAAAATGGACTTTTATGATGTGATGAGAGTTTTTGCCTTCCAACACTCTCACATAAGCTGACATAATGTTCACTATGTGTCTGAAATGGAGTTATGAATAACCCAAATTTGCCTCTCCTAGGTTTCAGCTTGAGGATAACTCAATTTCTGGAAAAGACTAGGAAGCCTAATAGAAGGAGTATGATAAAGCAGTGTGACTACATACTGTGAGAAGCTGACAAGGAAGAATGTGTGCAGAGCATCCCTGGCCAGTGCTCAGCAAATAGCAGGAGGGGACTTGCTGTGATTTCCTCAGCCAGACATACCCCTGAGCATTTTGTCCTCACCTTCCAAATAACCGGAGCCCAGAAAAGCTGCAAAGGGTAAGGGAAGGACCCCAGAAATTATATTACTGGTTAAAGAAAAAATGTTCTGAAGTGTCTATCAAGGAAGAAAGCATCAGGACTTGGCAGGAGAAAAGTAACTAAAAATGGTGTTTAACTTTATTGCTGCAGAGACTTGAAGTTAACAGGATCATTCTATGAGCATTTGCCTGAGTGTTTTTTCAGGCTGTTTTTAAAGGCTTTTTTTTTACAAAAAGATAAATCTGACTCCATCATTGGTTGTGCTTCACCACAATTATTTCTTTTTTCTTTCCTTTCCCCCCTCTCTCCTCTGAAATTCTAAATGAGGAGGGCTGAGCAAAGCAGCCCAATACATTTGGCAATACTCGTGTAAGCATAAACCAGTCATTTACTACATTGGTATTTACAATACATTTTGACCCTGACCATATTCAAGCATGAAAATTTGTGCAATGAATACATTAATATCGGTTTTGACATTTGTTCTCTGGGTACTCTTTTTTGCTATTGTAGCATGAAAGCACCCAAACACCAAAGCCAAGATCGTGCATCAAGGCGTCAGGTGTGCAAACAACTTTTTAAAAATGCTCCTACTCTGGATAGACTGCAGTCTGAAAGCACGCATGTCCTGTTTTGGCTAATCCTTGCAGTTTTGCTCATTCTGACTCCTGGAGGACTGCTCAGAGCACCTACCTTTAAGATTTGGACATGAGTCTGCAGGGCTGGAGCCACAGCTCCTAATGCAGTAATAGTGCAAATAACTTCTGTGCCATTTTGGAAGTCTGTTTTTTTCATCTTTGCATCATAGATTGTTACTTCCTTAATCAGGAATGCTTGTAGCAAATCTGGAAATACAGAAGAAATCCTTCTTATACATTACGTGTGTATTACATGTCACATGCTTTTCACACACTGAAAGAGCAGGGCTGTGAGTACCCATCCCTGCAGCTTGAAGAGCAGATCCTCCTGCTGCCCTTTCTGAGTGTCATGCAGAGGTTAGCACCTGCTTGTGCTCTGTAGCTGCCCACCTGACAAACAGACTAGACCGTCTAGGACAGACAGACACAGATCCCAACCTGTTCATGCAGAATCCAGGGAAGGAGGCAGAGAGACAGGAATTGCTGCAGAGTATGGCAGTGCTGGGCATGATGAGAGTGTCTGCTGCTGCCCAGTTGCAAGAGTATCCTCTCTACAAGGAGTTTGCAAAACAAGCTCTGGACATAATTCACCACAGATACTTATTTCTCTTTCTGAAAATAACTGAAAATTAACAAAGCATGAAGGAATACTGTTTTAATGAACACTTTGAAGGGTTAAAAGGGATCTGTCAAGGGAAAAATGGAAGTGAGATAGGACTTTGTATTTGTGTATTTGTGGTTGCACTTTATTTTAGATGTTTTTGCTTCAGTATAGCCACAGTTGCAAGAATGCAGCATAAAACTCTTAAACACATATATGTGCCCCCGTACTTACAGTCTAATGTTGGAGAGTTTTAGGGTGATGTTTCTTACTTCTCATCTCCTCTTCCAGTGTTTTTACCATAGAAACCCCCAGTAGAGGAGGAGGAGGGGAGGAGACAGAGGGTGAAAGAGAGTCTGAATAACCCCTTGCACCTCCCCCGGACTGTGTGTTGCCCGCCTCTGGGGAAATGTGTCTGCCCTGTCTCCTCCTTGGGTCAGGAGCTGCTGATCCTTCTTGCTTTCCCTTTGAAGTCCTATTTAGGTTCACGACAAGCTCTAGCTAGGGCTTAAAGGTTGGTCCCTTCTTGGAAGGGAGGAAAATGCTGCTGGTGGCTTTGAATGCATCTGTGTTCTCTAACTGGCAGTCACTGTGTGTCTTTTTCTGGGCAAGTGTTGTAATTAAAGTGCCCTTTTGATTACAGAAGGATGAGCCAGCTCCCGTTGGGGATTTTGGTGTCCTGGCTGTCTTCCTGGGCCTGCCACCCAGAGGAGCAGTTGCAGCAGGGAAAGGAGAGAGACTTATGATTATTTGGAGGAGTGAGGTATTGATTTTGTAGGATAGGTAATTTTGCATAGGGAATTGTGAATAGACATCACAAAAAAAAAAAAGAACAAAAAGAAGAAAAAGAAAAAATGGAAACAGAAAAAGAAGAAGAAGAAGAAAAAGGAAAAAGAAAAAAGAAAAAGAGAAAAAAGAAGAAAAGGAAAAAAGAAGGAGAAGAAGAAAAAAGGCAAAGAAAAACTAAAGCAAAGAAGAAAGGAAAGGAAAGGAAAGGAAAGGAAAGGAAAGGAAAGGAAAGGAAAGGAAAGGAAAGGAAAGGAAAGGAAAGGAAAGG